TACCAAGGATGTGCAATTGGCAAGTTGTTGCCCCAAAGCCCAAATTTGAGATGTTCATGGATACCATCTTTACTGATGTATTAACTACATAACAACATTTTTACTTCACTTTTTTAAGTTTGCGATACACTATTAATTTGATTTTAATGTTGTTTTACTATTTGTTTGTATAGATCGACTGTTCTAACATACAACCAACTCCTGAGGAAATCAGATCACTTGATTTACCGGATAACAACCATGTACCTTCAACACGACCAGATTCACCAATTGTTAATAACGAGGAGGTGCAACCGGAGGAGGTTCTTGGTTTTGAAGACTTCTCATCAAAACCTCTGGATCAATTGTTGAGGAGATCAACTCGAGTACCTAGCTCAGGATCTACCCCACCCCGCAAAAGAATAAAGGTTGTACATCCACATAAATATAATTTGTCCCACCTCACACAACCACATGAGCAACCAAAACAGTCATTTCAATCTCCAAGTTCAGAACCAAAACAAGCTGATAATGTATCTGGTGTTTCTCATAATACATTCTCTGGAAGAACAAATTTTGACAGTGCAGGAATGGAGGATCTGAAGATGTACATCAAGGGTTATGTAAGTAAACATTAGATTTAAACAATTGTTTATTCATTATTAAATCCATTTTATATGCTTAATTTAAGTATAGGTTGACAACAAATTTGGAGCTCTTGAAAACAAAATTGGAGCACTTGAGGAGTTAATAAAAAACAATCAGTCTGAATTGCTGAAAGCGGTTGGCGCGAAAGATAACAAAACTGAAAAGGTTGTATTTTGATTTTCTGGTTTCCTTCTCAATTTTATGGTATACTGATATTTAGATCATGAAGGATATTGGAGGCGTTTCATCGTTACACATGATGGATGATTCTGTAGAGAAAGGTGGTGTTGATTCACAACTCAAGTCTGATAAATTCGATCAACAAACCATTTCACCCATACAAATGGATTTTGCAACTGTTTATGATGTTGTTAAACCTGCTGTGGATGTTGAAAAAGAAAAAGTTTTTGATCACACTGTTCAAAAGGTGTGTAAGTATATCATGGTTAATAGTTGATAATTTAATTTATCATGTGTTTCAATCCCTTAAATTTATTTAAGAATATATCATGGTTAATGGTTGATATTTAATTTATGAAATATATGTTGCTAATTTGTGTATCACTGACTGTACTTTACACTTTACACATTAATAATGTATATGATAATGTACTTCCCAACTTTATGGTAAATTGATTGCAACTGTTGATGATGTCGATGAACCTGCTGTGGAGGTTGGAAAAGAAAAGGTTTCTGAAGACACTGTTCAAATGGTGTGTATGTATCTTATACTTAATTTATTTAAACATGCATTATTATGTGTTTTAATCCTTTAAATAGTTTAAGAATATAGCATGTTTAATGGTTGATACTTTAATTTACGAAATATACGTTGCTAATTTGTGTATAACTGAATGTATTGTACACATTAATAATGTATATGATACTATATCTATATTTTTTGTATCATGCACATTACTATTCTAACATTGCCAGATACTTTATTTTGTATTATACTTTAATTGTTTTAACTTGCACATATAAATGTAATATGATACATCCATTAAGGAACAAGTAATGCAAGAGTCAAGTGTGCTTCTACCCACAACACTCTATAATGATCCTTCGGTAAATGTGATTATTCATGATAAGAAAGTAGTAAGTGAAAAGTGTTTTTATTATTATACATTAATTATTTTTGAAAAAAAAAACATAACAGTATCTGATATTCTCTTTATTAGGATGATGGTGCAGATACAATTCAACAAGAATTCAAAAAACATGCTTCAAATTCAGCAGTTGTTAATACATCGGTATGGTTGTAATTTGTTACTGGAAAATGCAAACAATTCCCTGATGTGGCTTTTTTTTTATAATGAAAATTGTAATATTTTTGTTATTTACTTGACATCATATAGGATTCTACCAGATCGGCCTCCATTTCGTCCGGAACCGAATTAGCTGTAGATGCACTTGTATATGGACTTTCAAACCAGCCAATTAATGTCAAACCTCTGAGTGTACTCCACCTAACCGAAAGTGATGATTTTCTATCTGACAGCCAGATACCCACCCAACTTTCAAGAGATGAGCATGCACCGAATACAAATACAAAAACTCTAGCTCATCGTAACAGAATGCCTTCAAAGGTTTTGCAGTCTCCCTATGTGAATTCTTTTGGATCAAGTGATAAGGGAAAGGAGAAAATAGACGATGACATCCGCCCATACACTCCATTTGAAGATTGTCGTATCACATATCAACTCTCGTCAGGTTTAATGCAAGAGTTCTTAGAGTGGATACAAAAGGGACTCCTCAGAACACATGCGAAGAAGTAAGTTTTTCTTATTAATGTATCTTTATAATAATTTTTTTAAATTAATATTATATTCATTTCGACTTTAATAATTCTTATAGAAAACCATTTGAGGAC